TAGTTCAATGATTTTTAGTAAATGTATACAGTTGCACAACCATCGCCACAGAAAGTTCTTTTGTACCTGTTGGCAATCAATCCCCACTCCCACCGCCAGTCCTGAGAACCACTGATCTGCTTTTTGTGTCTACAGTTTTCACCTGTTCCAGAAATTGCATATAAATGGAATCATACAATATGTTGTCTTTTGTGTCTGGTTTCTTTCACTTGACATAAAGAATTTGAGGTTTCTCTATATTGTTGCATGTACTTATATTTTGTTCCTTTTTAATGCTAAGAAGTGTTCCATTTTTTGGATATGCCACAATTTATTTATTCACCTATCTTCAGATTGTTTCAAGTTTTTGGCTCTTGCGAACAATACTGCTACGAACAATTGCACACAAGTCTTTGTATGGAAATATGTTTTCATTGCTCTTGGGTAGATATGGAGGAATAGAATTGATGAGTCATACGATAAATACATAGGTTTAGCTGCAAAACTGTTTTCTAAAGAAGCTATACTATTTTACATGTACAGCAACAATGTATGAAGTTTCTCCACATTCCTGTCAACACTTGGAATTGTCAGTCTCTGTGAGTATGGGCATTCTTGTGGGTATAAAGTATCTCATATTGTGGTTTTAATCTGTATTTCTCAATGGCTAGTAATGCTGAGTATCTTTTAATGTGCCTATTAGTTATTCATATATTTACTTCAATAAAGTGACTATATCCTTTGCCCGTGTCTTTTATTTTTTAAAATTCTCATCCCAGAATACATTTTTATTGATTTGGGGGTTTTTGGAGAGAAAGAAAGAGGGGAGAGAAACATCGACTGGTTGCCTCCCATGTGCACCCCGCCTTTCCAAATGCCTTTTAATGTCTCCTTTAAGGTGAATAAGCAGCATCAAAATATACTGGACCAGCCCAGCCCGTGGCTCAGCGGTGGAGAGTCGATCTAGGACCCAGGAGATCGCAGTTCGATTCCTAGTTAGGGCACATGCCTGGGTTGCAGGCTCGATCCCCAGCAGGGGGCGTGCAGAAGGCAGCCGATCAATGACTCTCTCATCACTGATATTTCTCTCTCCCTCTCCCTTCCTCTCTCTGAAATCAATAAAGACATATTTAAAAAAAAAAAAAAATACTGGACCAAAACAATTCTGACTCAAATTATGGAGACCCAAACTTTGGTCTGTACACTGTTATCAACTTGATAAACTTAAGTAAAAGTAGTATTTTTATCATAAAAGTTCTCACTTTTGGAACATGAGGATTAAATTCCACAGCTCTATGAATTGCTTCCACAGCATTAATTTCAGCTGTGCTTAACCCTCTCCTGGAGGCTGTTTCTGGAGAGAATCTGTAAGAAAATCACAAAATGAAGAAATGAATATTAGAAAATATATGGATTTAGATCATCATCTAATCAGAGGTTTCTAGTGATGACCAAAGACAAAGCCAAATAACTACTAAACATCAAATTAAAGCCTTTGGTCCAACATATAAAGAAAGGCAGCATAAGAAATGAACACCTTCACATTTAGGTAATGAAAGACTTCAGGAGAAGTCCACTGAAGGCACACTTTGGGAAAGATAATAAAACATAAAAGGCTACATAGGGATATTCAGAGACTCTCACAAAACAGTACATTCTTATAGAATTTTCACGAAAAGGAAACAGACTGTGAATACTCCATTCTAATTCACATCAAGGAATAGTAATCTAAGGTGAAAGAACATGGCACATTTTGGTTGGTTTCTGAGTATCTTATCTGTGGAATAAAGTCAAATTCGTTAAAGGCAGCCACAAATACAAGGAACACAGAATAATTCAGAATTATAATCTCGGGACAGATAACATGGAACTTTTTCCCCCTACCACACATGTTATCACTAATAGCCTAGCCACTATGTACTGTATGTACTTTCTGTCTGGCATTGTTTTAGGCACTTAGCACTATAATCCTCATAGACCCATCCTACAGTATTATTATTCTTATTTTACACATGAGGAAAACTCAAACTGATTAACTTGCCCAAAAATCCACACCTGGTATGTGGTAGACTTCAATTTGAGCCCAGGTTTACTTTAGCTCTAAAAACCTTGCTCTTTCCACTATACATAGTAAGAAGCCTCAGAGCCCCGTATGGTCAAGGTTTATTCCGAAAGAAGTAAGAAGGAAAACAAGCCTTGGTTAAAGTCAGTGGATGGAAAGCATAATACTGAGTTCAGCAGTCTTTCTAAATTGTTGTAGTTCCCATAACTACTTACTTATCTGAAACAGTCCTTGTCTTCAACAGCGCTGCTGTATAACAGATTGCTGCTGACTTTGGAAGGCTTATATCTGTAATAATAATTTTCAATTTAGGAAAGAATTGCAAAAAAATATCTAAAGACAAGTTTTAAATAAAAATAATTCATAGGACAAATTCAACAGATATAATATAGTACTAGAAGCACGTGGAACGTAGTCAGAAGACCTGAGTTTGAATATTGATTCTACTATTTACTAGCTATGCATCCTTGAACAATCTAATCAAAAAATGGGCAAAGGGCATGAACAGACATTTCTCCAAAGAGGATATACAAATGGTCAACAAACACAGGAAAAGATGCCCAGCATCACTAATAATCAGCAAAATGCAAATCAAAACTACAATGAGATATCACTTCACACCTGTCAGAATGGCTATTATCAAAAAGACAACAAAGAATACATGTTGGAGAGAAGGTGGAAAAAAAGAAACCTTTGTGCACTATTGGTGGGATTGTAATCTGGTGAGTGGGAAAGGTGAGGGGATTAACAAGTACAAACTGCCAGTTATAAAATTAGTTATGGAGATGTAAAGTAGAGCATAGAAAATATAGTCAATAATGTTGTAATAACTACATATGGGGCTGGATGGGTACTAGACTTATCATGCTGATTACTTCATATGGTATATAAATGCCTAATTAATATGTTATACATCTGAACTTAATTTAACATTGTGTGTCAACCAGGCCGGGTGTGGCTCGGCGGCTGAACATCCACCTATGATCTAGGACATTGCAGTTCGATTCCCAGTCAGGGCACATGCCTGGGTTTCGAGTTCCATCCCCAGTAGGGGATATGCAGGAGGCAGCCAATCAATGACTCTAATCATTGATGTTTCTATCTCTTTCCCTCTCCCTTCCTCTATCTGAAGTCAATAAAGATATATTTAAATATATATATATAGTGTGTCAACTATAATTCAAAAATAAATGGAAAAAAAATGCCCAAAATAATGTTATTAGGAGAGTAAGGCCACAGAATTCCCTTGAATTTTTAGATTCTAAAGTTATACCAGTAAATGGAGAACTAAAGAAGTAAATTGCTTTTAACTTCAGAATTCTAGAATGGTAAAAACTGGGGACTCATAAAAATAACTGAAAACACAGAAGCATATCTAAGTTGTTAGTTTTATTTTAGTTTTAATGAAACAGGCTCTATCTGCTGTTGTACATTTGGTTCCTAAGCTTGTTCATCGTAAGTATCATAAGCAGGCCATGCATCTGATAAGTTACAGATGGAAAAGATTTCTCATAAATTTCTCCAATGAGCCCACACTATTTTGAAGCGCTTCCTAAGAATTCCAGATGTTTAAAAGAAATAAACTTCTCTTTCCAAGTGTAACACATTTTAAACCTGCCAAGTCATGGGGATTCCCAAGCTAATGGGTAGGAATTTACAAATGGACAAATGTTAATGAATGACTGATATGTTCTCTTAGAGTGAAAGATATGATCAAAAACATTATGCTAGTTCGGATGTGTTCAGTTTGGGTTTAAAAGCTGATACCTCATTCAGAATGAGGAGAAAGGCTATGCTCCATAAAAATTCTCCCAACTCCATTTGTGTTAAATTTGCACTGCTACAGTATAATAATAAAAATAGCCAATATATTGACTTCTTACTATTGGAAGACTAGTAAACAAATAAATGGAATCCCTGGATTTAAGTTCGGGCTTGCCACTTACTAGCTGGGAGACCTTACCCAATTATTTAAACTTTTTCAACTCCAGTTTCCTTATTTACTAGCTAGAAATAGTGAAAATACTTGTCCTACAACCTCACAAGATTATTATAAATATCAGATGAGATAAAATATACTTTGTAACTAAAAAGCATTGTAAAAATGTCATTCTTAATTGCTCCTACACATACTACTAAGCACCTTCTGTTAGCCTTCCCTGACAATCCAAAACAAATGAGGTACCATCCTATGTGCAGAGCACCCCATACTTTTCCAGTTATCTCACCTAACACTCCATGCTTCAATATAACTACTATTCATTTGTCTGTTGCACTAAACTGCAAATCCTAAGAGAGCTAAGTCCAATCTCTTTGCTCACCACTTTATGCCAAGTGCCTCACTCATATCAGGTGCTCAGTAAACAAATAAATCTTGACAGAAGAAAAGTTCCTCCTTACAGGTTTTTGCTTCCAAAATTCCTGCTAAAGAAGATTCTTTAAAAAAAAATTATTAAATTTATTGGAGTGACACTGGTTAATAAAATTATATAGGTTTAAAATGTACAATTCTATAACACACCACTGATATAGTGCATTGTGTGTTTACCACCCAAAGTCAAGTCTCCTTCCATCACCATACAGCTGCCATCCTCTACCCCTTACTGCCTCCCCCAACACCCTTTCCCTCTGGTAACCACCACACTGTTGTCTTGTGTCTACAAGTTTTTGTTTGTTCGTCTCGTTTGTCCATCTGTGGCTTTTAGTTTTATAGCCCACATATGAGTAAAATCATATGGTTCTTGACTTTTTCCGTCTGACTTATTTTGCTGACAGGTAGGTGTGAGGTGGTATCTCATTGTGGTTTTAATTTGCATTCCTTAGAAGGTACTTAATAGCAACTTGTACCCATGAATTCTAAATCCTGACTGGTAAGAATGATAAGAGAAAGTCACAGAAATACTAGAATAGGATCACATTTATGATTACATAATTTTTAAAAAATACTTTAACCATGCTATCAACTAAGACAAATATCACTCACCATCATATTTTGCTAGGACTGCCTGAACATCTGCATAGGCCTGTAATTCTAAAAGTGATTCTAGGAGGTTTTCATGGATGTTCCACATGGTAAGAGGAGGAAATTCTTTCATCAACTGCACAGTAAAAGGAAAAGAAGGTTAAAATTATAGCAAAGGAACTCAACAGGCTGAGTCAGATTCACCGAAGGAGAAATTCTTTTGTTTCTTAACAAAACTGTAGAGACTCAACCCTTAAGTAATGTATGCATATTAAATAAGTATCTTTTCATAAAAACTACCAAGTATAAAACAGTGATTCTACATTAAAATAATCAGCAATTCAAACCACATTTTTAGTTTCTGAATACAAAGGTCCGGTCATCAAATTCACTTACGTCTCTCATTATCTTTACTGCTTCTCTTATTCTTCCTAATTTCCTTGCACACATTGCCAATCTTCTTTTAATATATGCCAGTACATTGGTATCTCTCTCTATTAAAAAAAAAAAAATGACACTGCTATCATTTTTGTATTATGATTTACTATTTCATTAGCATATCCATTAATTTATTTGCTTAATCTGGAAGGTTCAATTAAAATTAAATAGTGTCAGAATGGAAGAATATTAATGATTGTTGTATTTGGGTGATGAACATTAAATGGGGGTTCATTATATTGCTCTATTTGTGTATATGTTTGAAGTTTTTTAATATTAAAAGCTTAATATATATATGCATATACATATATATATAGAATTACTTTTACCTCTAACAATAAGTAATCTGAGAACAGTATATATAAAGTAATCGGTATATACTTGACCAATGCATTTGAATATTAACATAAAAGAAATACATACATTAATTGGAGAAGTAATATTAACCTATTATATTCTAAGTTTCTGCATAAACAATCTATTATTTTAATAGTCTCTATTGTTTTAACTGACAAAAGATTTTCAAAACAAAATTTCCATGGCTACTGCAAACTTTTACTCAATAGCTAGTAACTAAGAAACTATAAAACTACTTCTAGAAAGAGCTAACATATTTCTGTAACTATCTCATAACCGTATTTGAGATTATACAAGGACAAATGGCATAACTTTTTCACAGATGCAGTTTCATTAGTTCCAGACTGCAAAATTATATATTCCCATAGTCGTGTGTTATAACAACAAGTATTAATGAAACATACTTTAGTTAGAGAGAAAACATTACCCAAATTTTAATTTCCACAAATAAAAGATTTAGAACTTAACCACTAGCAGATAATGTATTATGTAAACATATTTCGATTTACCTTTATCTATCTGCCCAAAATCATGACACTAAAACTCCCTGGCCACAAAAGAAATGCAGGAAGCAACAGTACTACAGATTCTAACATCTTTGGTAAAAGTATCTCAGTCATAACTGGGAGAGCATCTCTGTAAGTGGGAAGAAAGGACCGCAGTTGCTATGGCCCACATGATCTCAAACACACCAGGGAAAAACCAGCCAAAGAAAGAAGCCATGCCAAGTAAGGCTGGCTTTCATGCTGAAGGGGCCGCTCCCTGGCACTACATGGAGATACACACAGTCTAAAGAGCAAACCACCTGTCCGGCCGGGCGTGGCTCAGTGGCTGAGCGTCAACCTAGGATCCAGGCGATCGGGGTTCGATTCCCAGTCAGGGCACATGCCCGGGCTGTGGGCTCGAAGAGTGACTCTCTCGTCATTGATGTTTCTATCTCTCTCTCTCCCTCTCCTTTCCTCTCTCTGAAATCAATAAAGATATATTAAAAAAAAAAAAAAAAAAAGAGCAAACCACCTGATGTCCTTCTACTATCGCTTGGGGTAAAGGTGAGGATAAAGGTAACAGCAGCTTATCATTACTAGAAGGCTCTTGTGGTTCTTTCTGAGTTGTGCTTCTCCAATGACCAGCCTAATTCTCATGTGAAATAAATTAGCTACTAAGAAAAGTAGCTAACCTCTAAGTATTAAGTTTATTATTGTTGTTTCGTGTTTTAAATATCAAAGAGCCAATTGCAGGAACTAAAAGATAGGGAAAAATTAGTTCAGATTTGCTTACTCAGTTGGGCTTCATGCTGAGGACTTTGGTGCTGACACTGCTGTGACCGCCTATAAATCGTTTCTCCTGCCTTGAGTGCCTGTTTAAATAACTTTTCAACGTCTACAATAGTTGTTGCTTCTTCCTCAGCCAGGAGAATATATGCAGAGGCACAGCTATGAAGCAAGCAAGACAATTTTAGGTAAACCAGTAAAGCAAGCATATTCTCTTGGCTATGTCCCTTTATTCCACGTCATATTCCCCACCTTTCCCTACACTTGCCACCTCTTGAAGAATACAAACAACTTCAATAAATATTTTAATTTAAGAGGGGCATATGGTACATTCTTTATGTCTTGGTTCCACAATTTTTCTCCTTTCCTATCTTTCTTTTCCTCTCTCTATTTTTCATCTTTTTTACTTCTATATCCATTCTCTGATCCTTTTTCCCACATTTTCCTTTTTCGGAAGAGAGGAGAAAAGAAGATATATAAAGAAATAGCTGAACATTCAAGGGACTATGCACTCTAGTGGTCATGCCTGCTCTTAGTCACTATATACTTTTAAATATCTGTATAATGGATAATGGAAGTATAGAAGAGGGTCACAATTGAGAAGAAAGTCCCATGGCCAACTAGGCACCTTTACCATCTGACTCAGAAACATATTCCAGGACAAGGCCTCTTTCCCTACACTGGGTACTGCCCCATCCTCTCCTGGACTTACCCACAATAGTACTGCAACAAAACTTCCCTTGATTTGCAGTCTAATCTTTCCTCCTACACTCCTACTCTCGCTTGTCACACCCATGCTGACTCCAAATTTCCTTTTCTTCACCCCACTAAAACACAGATTTCTCTTTATATCCTTTAAGTCAAAAGCTGGCTAGTAAGATAAATTAGCTTGTTTGGGAGTAAAAAAACAAGAGAAACAGAAAGTTTCCTTCTAGTCCCAGAAATAACTAGTTTGTATCTCTTCTGGAGACAATGTCCTAGTTCTGATGATCTAAACCTAGATTGTCCAGTATTGTAGTCATTGGTCACATGTAGGTATTGAGCACTTGAAATGTGTCTAGTCCCAGCTGAGATACACAACAGTCAGCATATGGTCAGTGTAAAACACACACTGAATTTTGAAGACTTAAAAGAATATAAAATACTTCATTAACAGTTTCTTTTTAATGTTGAATATATGTTAAAATATGCTAATATTTTAAATATAGCTAAATAAAAAATATTCAAATTAATTGCACCTATTTCTTCTTACATTTTAAACGTGGCTATCAGGAAAATTTAATGTTACATATATGGTTTGCATTACAACAGGGGAGAAATTATTGGTAAAAGTACAAGGTGGGCATGGGGAAAAAAAGTGATGGCAAGATAGCAATAAAAAAATTGGGGAGAAGTCCTAGCCAGTGTGGCTCAGTTGGCTGAGCATCGTACCATGCACCAAGAGGTATTGGGTTCGGTTCCTGGTCAAGACACATGCCTGGGTTTCAGCTTGATCCCCAGTAGGGGGCCGTGCAGGAGGCAGCCGATCAGTGTTCTCTCTCTCATTGATGTTTCTCTCTCCTTCTCTCTTCTTCCCTCCTTAAAATCAATGAAAACATATTTTTTAAAAAAGTTTTATAACTGGGGACAAGATGGCTCTTTCAGATGTAAAAAATGCAAATCATACCATTTCAGCATCCTTTAACTGGTACCCTAATTTGAAGTATATAATAATTTCACTAATCAACAGAGATTTCTTCATTACATTACACTGGATTAAATTAATCTGTCTAGCCTTATGATTTAATTACTATAGCTTCACAGTAAGTTTTGAAATCAGGAAGTGAGTCTTCTCTGGTCTTCTTTTACAAGACTATTGTTTTGGCTATTTGAGTTCTCTTGCAATTCTATATAAATTTTACAATCAGTTCGTCCTTTCTGCAAAAAATAGTAATTGAAATTTTGATAAGAATTGCATTGAACTTGTAGGTCAACTTGAGGAGTACTGCCATCTTAATAATATTAAGTCTTCCAATCCATGAACATGGGATGTCTTTCCATTTATTTAGGTCTTCTTTAGCTTCTTCCAACAATACTTTGTCGTTTTCAGTTTTCAGTGTGCAAGTCTTGCATCTCCTTGGTTAAAGTTATTCTTAAGTATTTTAATATTTTTTATGCTATTGTAAATGGAATTATTTTCTTAATTTCCTTTTCAGATAGTTCATTGCTAGTGTACAGAAATGCAATTTATTTTTGTACGTTGATCTTGTCTCCTACAACTTTGCTAAACTCATTTATTAGTTCTGATAGGCGTGTGTGTGTATGTATTAAGATTTTCTGCATGTAAGATTATGTCATCTGTGAATAGAGATAGTTTTACTTCTTTCCCAATTTGGAGGCCATTTTTCCCCTTCTTTTTTCCTAATTGCACTGTCTCTCACCTGCAGTGTAATGTTAAGAAGGAGTAGCAAGAGCAGACATCCTTATTCTTGATCTTACAGGGGAAGCTTTCAGACTTTTATCATTAAAAATGCAGTTAGCTGTGGGTTTTCCACAGATGTCCTTTATCAGTTTGAAGAAATTTCCTTCCATCCTTTGTTTTCTTTGTTTTTATCATCAAATGGTCTTGGTTTTTTTCCAAAGATTTTTTCTGCTTCAATAGATGATAGTGTGGTTTTTGTCCTTTGTTCTATTCATGTGGTGGCAAACATTGACTGATTTTTCATATGTTAAACCATCCTTGCTTTCCTGAAATAAGTCCCACTTGGCCATGGTATATAATCTTTTTAATATGCTGCTAGATTTGGTGTGCTAGCATTTTGTTGAGGATTTTTGCATCTATATTCGTAACAAACATTAGTCTGTAGTTTCTGTTTCTTGTGATGTCTTTGTCTGATTTTGGGATAAGGGTAATACTGGCCTCATAGAATGAGTTAGGGATTTCACTTATACATGGAAACTAAAAAACAAAATAAATGAACAAGCAGAACAGAAACAGACTCATAGATACAGAGAACATTTTAACAGATGCCAGATGGGAGGAGGGCTGGGTGATGGGTGGAAAAGATGAAGACATTAAGAAACACAAATTGGTAATTACAGGACAGACATGAGAATGTAAAGTACAGCATAGGGATTATAGTCAATAACACTGTAATAACTATATATGCTGTCAAATGGGTACTAGATTTATCAGGGTGATTATTTTGTAAATTATATAAATGTCTAATCACAGGGTAGCACACCTGAAACTAATATATTGTATGTCAACTATAACTTAAAAATAAAAATATTTTTTTAAAAGGAATGAGTTCGGAAGAGTTATGCCCTCTTCTGTTTCTTTGAAGAGTTTGAGAAGGACTGGTATTAATTCTCTAAGTGCTTGGTAGAATTCACTAGTGAAGTAATCTAGTCCTGGGCTTTGTTTGTTTGATAGTTTTAAAATTACTCATTCAATGTCTTCACTTGTTATAGGTCTATTCATATTTCCTATTCCTTCTTGAGTCAGTATTGGTAATTGGTACATTTCTAGGAATTTGTCCATTTCACCCAAGTTATCTCATTTGTTGGCATACAACTGTTCATAGCATTTTCTTATAAGCTCTTAAATTTCTGTAAGGTCAGTAGTAATGTCCCCAATTTCATTCTTGTTTTTAGTATTCTGTCTTTTCTTTTTTTTAATTGGTCAGTCTAGCAAAAAGTTTGTCAATTTTGTTGATCTTTTAAAAAACCAACCTTTGGTTTCATTGATTCCTCTATTGTTTTTCTACTCTCTTCTTTATCTCACTCTAATCTTTATTACTTCCTTCCTTTTGCTTGGAATTTAATTGGCTCTTCCTTTTCTATTTCCTTAAGGTATGAAGTTAAATCATTGATTTGAGATCTTTGTTTCTTTATTAATGTAGGTGTTTACAACTATAAATATTCCTCTGAGCATTGCTTTGGCTTTATCTCATAAGTTGTGGTATGTTTACATTTAAGTAACAAATAATAATAAAACTTGTTTCTGTCATTTTCCTCCTTGTTCTCTACCTATCCTTTCTTTTTTGCCCTCATTTCCTATATTACTGTTTTTTTATGTATTATTTTCTAGTATACCATTTTGATTCCCTTTTTATTTCTTTCACTATACTTTTTAGTTATTTCTTAGTGGTTAATAGTTTAAAATCTAGTTGGAATTAATGCTTAGTTTTAATAGTATATAAAACTTCACTCCTATATAGTTCTTCCCCCACTCTTTTTGTTGTTATGGTCACAAATTACATCTTTATAAACTGTATGTCTATCAACATAGACTTATTATGGTTTCACATAGTTGTCTTTTAAATCATATAGTAAAAAAGAACTGCAAACTTAGGGCCCATTGTCTTTTATATTTGCCTATGTAATTGCTTTTACTGGTGTTCCTTATAGTTTTGTGTGGAGCTGAGGCTGTGTAGTATTCCTTTATTTCAGCCTGAAGGACTCCTTTTAGCATTTCATGTAGGATAGGTCTACTAACAATGAATTCTCTCAGTTTCTGGTGATCTGGGAATGTCTTAATTTCTCCTTCATTTTTGAAGGATAGGTGTATGCTGGATTATAGAATCCTTACTTCACAGTTTCTTTCTTTTTCTCTTTCTTTTTCTCCTTTCTTCTTTCTTCCCTTCCTCCCTCCCTCCCTTCCTTCCTTCTTCCCTCTCTCCCTTCCTATATGACAAGCAATAATNTTATCTACTGCCTTCTGGATTCTATAGCTTCTGATTAGAAATTGCCTGTCAGTCTTATTGATGATCCCTACATGTGATGAGTCACTTCTCTCTTGCTACTTTCAGAAATCTCTCCTTGTCTTTGGCTTTTGAAAGCTTGGCTATATAGTGCCTTACTGTGGATATCTTTGAATATATCATACTTGGGGTTCATTAAGCTTCTTGGATGTGTAGATCCATGTCTTTCATCCTTTGAGGGATCTTTTCAGCCTTTATTTCTTCAAGTATTCTTTCTGCCCCTTTCTCTCTCTCCTCTCTTTATGGGACTCCATTATACAAAGATTGGTATGCTTAATAGTGTATCATAGGTTTCTATGGCTCTTTTCATTTTTCTTCATTCCTTTATTTTTGTTTCTCCTCAGACTAAGTAATCTTGATTGATCTAAATCCAGTTTGCTGATTGTTTCTTCTGCCTGCTCAAATGTGTTGCTGAGCCCATACAGGAATTTTTTTATTTTGGTTATACTTTTCAACTCTAGAATTTCTATGCAGTTCCTTTTAGTTGTTTCTACCTCTTTCTACCTATTCCTAATGGTGAGACATAATTCTCCTAGTTTCCTTTAGTTCTTTGTACATGGCTTCCTTTACCTCTTTGAGAATATTTAAAATAGTTGATTTAGCCCTGGCCAGCATGGCTAAGTTGATTGAGCATCATCCTCGTCCACTAGAAGGATGCCAGTTCAATTGCCGGTCAGGACACATACCCAGGTTGCAGGCTGGATCCCCAGTTGAGGTGTGTGTGGAAGGCAACCGATCAATGTTTCTCTCTCACATTGATGTTTCTCTCTTTCTCTCTCTTCTTCTCCCTCCCTCTCTCTAAAATCAATAAAAAAATTTTTTTTAAAATAAAATAGTTGACTTAAAGAGTTTGTCTAGAAAGTATAAAGTCTGGGTTTCCTCAAGGACAATTTCTATTCATTTCTTTTCTTTTCTATGTATGGAGTATATTTTGTTTCTGTGCATATCTTGTAACTTTTTCTTGAAAACTGGGAATTTTTAATATTATAATCAGGAAACTCTAGAAATCAGATTTCTCCCCCTCCCCAAAGTTTGTTGTTGCTGCTTGCTGTAGTTGTTTATTTGTTTAATGACTTTCTGAACTAATTTTGTAAAGTTTGTATTCTCTGTCACGTGTGACAAGTCTCTGCTCCTTTAGCTTAGTAGTAAGCTAGTGATTTAATAGAGATTGCCTTAACCATCTGGAAGCAAAAAAAAACAACCAAGTCTTTGCAGATGGGTTGTATATATGTGTGTGTGTGTGTGTGTGTGTGTTGTGTGTGTGTGTGTGTGTGTGTGTGTGTGTGTGTGTGTGTGTTGGGGCACACCTTCAACATTCAGTCAGGCAGTTTACAACTCCGCCTTAGCCTTCACTTTATGTTTGTACAGAACCTGAAAGTTAGACAGACATGAGAGCTTAGGGCCTTCTTAAGCATGTACCTTAGGCATGTGTGTGGCCTTTGAGTTTCCCAGGAATATGTGGGAGCTTTTTAAAACCTTTATTTCCAAAGTATCTCATTCCTCAGCCTTTCCTCCAAAGCTTCCTGATTTGTCTAGCTTGCCCCAAATTTTACCCCTTGCCCTAGGCAGCAGGGACTAATGTATTTGCCTTTAAATGTTTTAACAAATGCCCCTCCCCTCCATGTAGCTGTGTCAGTGCTGGAAGAGTTCCAAATTAACCTAAATAAAGACAAGTCCCTTGAGTTGGTCCTTCAGGGAGCGACCAGACAGTCCAAATAAACAACCACAATTCTTTGAGAATAAGGTCCATTCTACTTCTTCTGGTAGTAGGCACCTACTTCCAGGATGTAGGCTGTTGTCTTCAAGGCTGCCACTAAGCTAGGAAGTAGGGGATGGGGCCAGTGTAAGTTAAAACATCACAAAGCTCTCTTATATAAATTCAGCTGTTTTTAAAAATTGATTAAGCATTCTCCAGGTTGCTATAAACTTTTGATTAGTTTCCAGAGTTTCAATAAAGTTGATTTACTGCTTTTGGAATTCCCTATACTGTCATTTTTGTTCCGCCTGGGAAGGTCTTCTTAATAAGGATAATATATCTGGGGGGAGAGGGAAGGAGGAGGGATACAGGGGACAATGCTAAGGTCACATTATTCAGGAAGCATACCTTGATTAATCCCAACTGGGGCAATATTTTTACTCTTGGCATTTATTTAGTATTAGATTAATACTTATTGATCTGTCTCATTTAAATATTAAGTTGACTTATGATTTTACATTTTGTCTTTTCAAAATATAAAGTTAATACAAAGAGCTATAAAAGTAAATGCTGTTAATATGAAAAAAATTAAGTTAGATCTACATTTTACTTATTGTGACTCCCCATCTCATACCTTCTGCCCCATTAGCAACTAAAGTTTGCAGGACTGAATGAATGCTTTAAATGAATGATTTAAATGAAAAACAAAATTAAAACAGGTGGCATAGTATTTTAGTACTGTTTAACTATAAAGTATTATCACCAATTAGATCAGCACTCTCCATTTTAAAAAGTATTTCCAGCATAATTTCTATTCAAAAGCATAGATAAATTTACACTTTCAGAAGCAAAATACGTATGTTGGTGAACACTGCAAAGTTTTTCTCTAGTACACAAAAAGAGAAAGGGAACAGCTTATGACTCCAAGTGTCTCAGGAACAGAAAAAAGGAAACATTAAATCATTTGCCTGGGTTTCCTTCAAAACAAACTTATTTTCCATATATTTCAAACTTACTCATTGTTTAATTCTAAAGCTTGGTAGGCTGCTTTGATTCGAGCTAAAGGATTTCTTTCCCTCCATGCCTTCTGCATAACTGTAGAAAAAATATTTCAAAAAGTAGATGAGATGGTAAACATAAATATTATACAAAACATATGAAGAATGAACTAGGAGAGTAAACAAAGACTTAAATAACATGTTATTAAATGTAAGAAACAAGAAATTGGGGTGCTAGCTCACATTAACCTTATGAGAAACTTACATTAAATTTGGAAGTTTCACATAAAATAAAAATAAATATACTGTGTTTCGTCTATTTAAATAACAACACATACAGTACTTGATCAAATTAATTACATCATTATTATACATGAACATTTACATACCTAAATGCATATTAAAATTGAGTTTGAGTGACATCAGATTATAATCAATATGAAATATTCTAGTTCCTTTATCATTTTGAAAAGGTTCTTTGGAACTACTAGAAATACACAAAACACTTAAAAATAAAGTCTTTGTCTAAAAAATAAAGTCTTTGTCTAATCAATGATTCAATACAGGAAGAATGTTTGAATTTGTATTTTGTATTAAAAGGGAGGGGATTCATTTAGAATATAGAACTTTTATGGAAAATGTCAGTTTCTACAAAAATTCAACAAAAGCCTGAATTAGAATTTCTCTGAAATAACAATATCAGCTATCATTTACAGTACCAAATGAAAATTTCACACTAAGTAAAGTTTCTTAAAAATTAAACAAATAAAGTAGATTCATGAAACTATCTGGCCTATTTCAAGTTTGATAAGAAAAACAGAGAATCTATAAATGTCGTTTTTGGAACAAAACCCACAGCTGTCCAGAAAGAATAATGTGGAAAATGTTTGAGTTTTCCTTTGGAAACAGAGTATTAGTCTTGGCTTAGAAAATTAGACAATATATTCTACTTGTGTAACAAAAATATATTTCTGATTTCAAACATGTCACCAGCTAGCTGACAGCTAATGCTTCCTAAACCTGACAAACTGATGCACATCAGCACCCAACTGATAATAACCAGGTAAAGAATAGCATTTTGCTGAAACATTAAAATATAAAATTCAACATATTAGACTTGCCATTTTTGATGATGGGCTCTCCTTCTGTAGCAACTTTTTTTAAAATTTTTTAATTTTTTAATTTAAGAAATTGTATTTATTTAGAAGCATTCAGAATGTCCACAAAACAGCTGCTTTTTTTTTTCTTTCCAATTATAGAGTGGTATTCAGTTAATGGAACAACAATTATTTTGTATAAGCTGCATCAGAGGCAACTAAAGATGAAAAAACTACCGACCCCCATATAAAACTAATTTGTGCTGTGCGCCAAGAGCCTGCTTTAAATTTCCAGGCCAATTTACAACCTCCATACTGTACCAGGCAAAGTTAGCGGCTACTGAAAATACCGCCAGGAAAAGGCACAAAGACACATGCAGTAATGTGCTAACTATATAAAAAAAGACACTGTATAGTTTAAAAACAATCTTACACAGACTTCCATTTCAATTTTTTTCTTTAAAAAGAGAGAGTTGTATACAGGGGGGTTAAATGTTTTATAGACAAGAAAAAAACTGCACTAGAACCAACTTGTTCCTCCTCCTCTTCGTCTTCATCTTCCTCCTCCTCATCTTCGTCGTCTTCTTTTTCTTGCTTTTTCCAGCCTTAATGACTCCTTTTTGCCGCATCAGGCTCTCCTTTAGCTCAGTAGGCAGCAGTATCTTCTCCGTATTTGTCCTTCAGCCTAGCAGCCTTTTCTTCATAAGGCTGCCTGTCGCCTACAGTGTGTGGCTCCACATCTCTTCCAGCTTCTTTGCAGCATCACCAATGGGTAGTCTGATGCTCTCCTTTGATTTTTGGGTGATACTCAGAACAAAACAAGAAAAGGGCCAAAGGAGGCCTCTTGGGTGCACTGGGATCCTTGAATTTCCTTTTTGTTTCCCCTTTCTAAGAGATATGTTTTCATTTCTCTTTCATAACGGGCCTTGTCTGCCTTTGCCATGTCTTCAAATTTTCCTTTCTCTTTAGCAGACACGGTCTTCCACCTCCCTGAGCAGTTCTTAGAAAACTCTGAGAAGCTGACTGAAGCACGTGGGTGCTTCTTCTTGTGCTCTTCTCGGCAAACTTTGCACAAAGAAAGCATATGATGACATTTTGCCTCTCAGCTTCTTAGGATCTCCTTTGCTCATTTTATATAAAATTTTTAAAATCAATTTTAGAGAGAGGGAGAGAGAAAGAGAAAGAAAGAGAGAGAGGGAGGGAGAGAGAGAGAGAGAGAGAGAGAAACATCGATGTGAGAGAGAAACATCAATTGGCTGCCTCCCGCACACACCCCGACTGGGGATCGAACCCCCAACCTGGGTATGTGCCCTGACCGGGAATAAAACCCACCACATTTTGGTGTTTGGAACAATGCTCCAACCAACTAAGTCACACTGGCCAGGGCTTGCCCATGTTTAATTACTTTTTCTCAGCAAGCACACAGTCACCCATTCAGCTTACATTTGCCCCGGTGCTGTCTCTATGGAGCTCAATGTACTACAATGGCTCTCTTTACCAACATTTTAAATGGTTTGATATTCTAGTATATTATGTATATATCATAGTTTATTTAACCAATTCTCTTTTCATGGACAATTAAGTTACATCCAATTTTTTTTCTATATAGAAATATTGTCATAACCACCTTTCAATATCTATCTTCGTATACCTGACCAAGAAGTGGAATGGTTGGCTAAAATGTATGCATCTTTTAAAAGATTTTGAATATATACTCCATAACTCCTCTCAATAAAATTGCATTAATTCACATTATTTCAGGCACTGTAGGAGAGTGACTATTTCCCTGCTTCCTCTCCAACACTAAATGATATCAGTCTTTGTTAATACATGGAAACAATCTCATTTGCATTTACATGCCTTTTTTTACATGACCTTACATGTAAGGTCATCGAATCCACCTTTAGGCATTTTTTCTTATTTGTTTTAAACTGCGCTATCCAGCCTTTCAACATTATTCTTCAAGCCAATGCAGTTCTAAGTCAAAGGGGAAATCAAGTAAAGGAAGAAAAGTACATATTTCCTTCTAAAAAAAGTTTAGGAATAATTTAAAGCAAAATGCTGATTTTGTATCCAACTACCCTCTTTAAGAGCTCTTGATATGCTTAAAAAATAATACAAGTGGTTAGCAATTCAATCAAAATTCTTTATTTTTTAAGTTAATAATATTCTAACATACTAACAAGCAGAAAAGACACTAGCATTTATCCCAAGATCAGGGGTCACAAATATAAATGCCTACAAGGACCAGCAGAAAACATAAATGAATAAACTAAAAATACGTGCACCGTCTAAAGGAGAGAATCGTAGCTCATTAATCGTAACTGATTAATGCCACGTGGAGATGCAGGTCCAAGTCTGCCATATTTTCCAAATTTCTAAAGGTGTAAATCTGAATTTTAATGTTAAGTCTCCTGATTTTTAAATGTTGGGGGAAAAATACCATGAAAACAAATTATCCAAAAACACTGCGGGCTGCCCCTGAGGACACATTTGTTCTGTTTCAGATAAATCCATAGGAGAACACAATCTGCTACTGTAATTCCTGACGACAACAGTCAAGAGGAATCAGTCACGTCACACATACATACACATGTCGGAAAAGGTCAACAGAGAGCCAACTGTCATTTCTGGAACAGCATTCACAGATAAAGTCTGTCCTTGAGTTGGGCCTTTAGCTGGGACTGTGTACCTCTAGAAGTATGTGAAACTTTGCAAGGACAAAATGGGATGCATGGTTTTAAGGGAATCAATTTCTAAAGTCTTAACTTTAACTCTTTCCTACACTGATCTACCGGAAGAACATTCCTCTGGTTGGTCCACACATCATGCAGGTTTTCCATGCCTACCCAACATCCGCTTCTCCACTCCCCAAAAGATTAGTTCCTTTCTTCTACTTTACAAAAGGAAAGCTTACTTCTCACCCATCCTGAATCTGTCCAAGTTGCATTACTCTACAGTGTAAAAATCTCCAGGTGCCAAAGGGACAATTCAAAGGTCAGGTTTGGGGGAAGCCATTCCTAATCAAGGAAACTCTAATAGGAATTCCACTTTTATTTCTTTCAAGAGTGAAGCTCATCATTAGAATTAAAGTATACTGGCCCTTGGATGCACTGAATTCAAGTAGAGTGGGGAGGGAAGTGATCATTTTTAGCAGTTCCATTTATCAGCATCCCTTTCCCCGTACTATAAGAGAATACACTGTTCATATAGGAAAGTCCCCTCTTGGCAAGGAATAAAGGCAGTAGAATCTTATTTTGGCCAAGAGATAAGCTCTAGGCAAAGCTACAAGACTCTATCTTTCTTATAACCTGAATTCAGAAGAGAGATGGCTGTCATGGGTTCCATGGTAATATGTTTATTTGAACTGAAAAATGAAATCAGAAAGTAAGTCTAATTTGGTTATAGAGAACTTAGCCAGCCAATTAGGTTCCATGGAGGACATTTTCTAAAGTTGAAAGAGCCAAATATGGAGCTGTAAGGATTTGACAAAAATAAAATGAAAGCATACACAATACCATTTAGGACATTATGGTAAAAGGAAATTAAAAAATGTTTAAATTTATACCAAAAAAATATACTGTGGAAAAGTACATACATGTGATAAAAGACTTTTAAGCATAAAATAATTAAAATCATATGAAGTATGGGATGGATATGAATTCCAGAACAAAAAGGACTTATATAAAACTTACTACTGTTAAAGAGTATTCAGTTCATGTGTTTTTCAATGGATAATGGTGCATATCAAGTCATTACATTCCTTGAAATAGGGTATTCTAGCTTTATTCTTGAATGTCTATATTTATAATGTCAAAAACAACATTCCTTGCAATCATTTAACTTATGATATAAACTTAAAAATGTGTGAAGGGAGCCCTGGCCAGGTGGCCCAGTTGGTTGGAGTGTTGTCTCGTACACCAAAAGGTTGCAGGTTTGATTCTCAGTCAGGGCACATACCTAGGTTTTGGGTTCGATTCCATATCCTACAGGAGGCAACTGATCACCATCAATGTTCCTCTCTCTCTCTCTCTCTCTCTCTCCCCCCTACTCTCTCTCTCCTTCCCTCTCTCTAAAAACATATCCTTGGGTGAAGATTTTTTAAAAAGTGTGAAGGAATACCAAAATGTTTTAAGACTACAGCTTTAGTGGATAGCCGTCGCTGCTATCTGAAAAGTTCCCAATATCTGCAACTCTGCCTGTGAGGAGGTGAAGCCTTACTTTCCAGAGTCACCTCAGTCCTTAAAGTTAACATACAAAATGACTTTCCACTGCTGTTATTTCCCCAACACCTACACTTTTGGAATTAATGTAAACATTAAGCATATAAACATAAAGCTTTTTCTCCTATTTATAATAAAGCCATTTAATTGTAACCATATCAAACATCCTTGGGCTTCCTGCAACCACTCATCCTTACTATATTTAATCCAGCAAAGAGATATCACAAAGAACTTACTTCAATGCTGGAAAACTGGCTATTTTTCAGACCCTTATTATTGGTGATCATCTTCTGCCTGTCGATGTGGTAATAGTGGCAACGTGGCAGTAGGATAGTGGTTAAGAGCCAGACTTGAGTTTGAAACCCAGCTTTATCATTTAATAGCTAGATGACTTAGGCATGTTATTTGATTCCCCTTTGCCTCTGTTTCTTTATTTTTTAAATGAGGCTAATAATAGTACCTACTTCATAAAGTGATTGGGAAGATTAAATTAGTACATTTATATAAACTGCTTAAACAGTGCTTGGTGCAAAGTAAGTGCTTTACAAGTGTTAACTCTTATTAGTGAAATTGCTGAAGTCATTTGTGACACCAACACCACTCGTTCACGCATACTTTCATCAGAGAATAAATATTAGTATCTACAGTATGCCAGGCACTGTGCTAAGCCATAGGGATTCAAAGATGATGAGAATATAGTACCCGCTTTCCAAAGTTTCACATCCTATTAGGAAAGACGAACATGAAGGCAACACAGTAACATTAACAAATAAATGTTTGTGGTTGAATACTGTTTCACTGAGGTTTGGGCTAAGGACTGGAGAACTGCAGAGAAGAAAGGAGATCTCAGAGAAGGCTTTCTAGAGAATGTGACTTTTAATTTGGATCCTGAAGGATAGAAGCAGAAGGACAGATAAGGAGGGAGAGGGCATTCAAAGTGAAGGCTAGGTGTGATCAAGATACCTGTCTTGAAGCCGTACATTTGAGTCTCAATATTCTTTCTACGGAGAAGAGCTTGGAGAATTACACAGGCATGTCTGCGATCTTCCACCACTTTACATGATCTCTAACTTATGACTGAAATAAAATTATGGCCCATTTTTCTCTACATTCCATGCCCCAATGTTTACACTTTGTCTTACTCTTTTCTTTTATGTATAATTGCAGGTATTAATTTTCCAGACCAAAACTGGGTACATTTTCCTATGCACAAGTAGTTGCTGTACTGGATCTGAAAGATTTTTTAAAGTAATAACAGAAGCAATATTTTAATAAAATACTTTAAATTCTTTATAAAAAGGAAAGGTAGTGTAATAGCCTAGTTTACAATCATAATTAGTTTCAATTTAATCTGGGTTTCTTATCAATAATGCAAACAACTCCAACCCAAATAACTTTGTATATTACAATAAATAACTATAGAGAGCTTTAAAAATAATTTTCATAACCACTGTTTATCCCACGAACAGAGATGACACATACCTGTGTCTGAAGGACGTAAAAAGTCCGTGTCGCAGGTGAAAAAGGTCTGATGGTCCTGAGCTGACAAATTCATGTCATGGTATGTAAGTGGTTCTTTACCAGTCACCCAAGTAAATCTTTACCAAAACACAAGAAAATATGTAAATCGTACATGAGAGAGCAACAATTTGCTATAACAGACCCTATTTAAAATTCAAATATATACTGCTAAAAATTCTATTTCTGGATGTTGTAAAAGCTTATTATAATCAGCAAAACAAAAAAGATAACCTATACAAACTACTTAGAGTATAATAAAACATCAAAATCTAAGAGGGAAAAGGGTAGATTATTCAACAAACACTGCTTCAAAATTGGGATTTGAAGGGATAAAACAATTTGGCTTAGATATATGCCTTGTTAAATATACTTCAATAAATTTCTAGTGAGTTAGAATTAAGTATTAAAAGTAAAACTACAAAGAAAGAAGAAAACACAGGTGGATTTTTACTAGATGTCAAGATGGTAAAGGCCTAAAGCATAAAAGCAAAGAGGAACTTTTTTCAGATGTTACCTAGAAATTTAAACTTTCCTATCTCCCTGAGACCTACAATTAATAATAGAAAGTTAACAGATTGGCTAATAAATAAATTTTTAAATGAGTAACCTCATTAGTAATTAACAAATAGCAAATTAAAATAAATAATTTTTACTTCCACCTATCAAATTGGCAAATATGTATATATTGTCAGGTGGGATACTGCTGGTATAAATGTAAATTGGCATTTACATTTCTGGTTCCAGAAATCAATTAGGTAATATCTATCAAAAGTCTTCAAAATATTCACACCTAGCTAGAGGATGGGTATAGAATATTATATTATACCATCCTCTCTACTTTTGTTTATTTTTCAAATTTTCCATAATAAAAAAAAAAAGATTAAAGGGAAGGGAGAAAAACTGTTTACACCCCTTGATTCAGTAATCCCAGTGCTACAAATCAACCCTAAGGAAATAATCATATAGTGGCTAAATATTTATATATAAAGATATCCCTCTAGTGTAAATGTCAACAGTGAAATATAATCTGTGACCCAGATAAGGGAGCAATAGATAAGGTATGGTAAATATAACCACAAAAAATCATGTTTTTGAAGAAATTCATGTTTTGAAGAAATTCTGTGGGAAATTCACAAATTTTGATGTTCAAGTTTTATTTCTATATATGGATAGAGAAGAGCAGCTGATGGAAATAGTAACAGCAGTTATTACTTAGTGGTAAGAAGGGGAGATTTTTACTTTCTTTTTCATATGTCTCTTTATTTTCCCATTTTCTACAATATGAATATACAGACATTTGATAATCTGAAATAAAGCACTTCAAAAGCACATTTAAGTATTATTTATATAAGTGGTTAAAGACATTAAGTTATTTAATAGTATGAGTTGCCTTGTAATTTAAAGTTTTTAGCTATTTTGGGAGAAATTATCATAAAGAAAAAGAAAATCCTTATTCACTTAACAGTTTTGCTAAAAACCATAAAAATTATTTATTAATAATCTACATTATTCCAAAATGATTTAAAGCAGTTAAAAATATAACGTACAATATCAATACATAAATTGGAAGTAAATTAAAAAGACTCAGTAAGTAAAAACAAAGACTGGGCCATAAAATGGAGTCTGGAATGAGGCTAACATATGAAACACATACATATGAAATGGCTACAACATGACTTTAATTTTTCTAGAACCACACAATTATCATTGCAATTTAGACTTTTACATTATTAAGACAAACTAATAATTTAAAAGAGGTATAAGTGTTCCTGATACTAAGATAAGAAATTTCTCTTTAAAACCTTCATGAAGTAGACACTGTATAATATAACAAGGAATAGCCTAAAATCTTTTTAATAAACACAGTGAGAAGTTCAAGGACCTGAGTCTTGCATAATCCCTTAATATAGGCTAATGGCACTTTTCATAAAAGCCTCATTTTCACTTCCCAGGACTGACTGTCCTACGCTATCAAGTCCTTAAGCACAGGGATTACTATTTAGTCATTTAGTTTCCCCATCATTTTACACAGTGTCCACACATAGCAGACACATAATGTTTCTTGTTCAATGAATTAAATAACACGCCCAGTCTACCTCCAGGTAAAACACAGCCCTTCTCCAAATAAAAGTAAATTATCTTTGGTCATTAGTTTCAAAAGATGTTTTCTCATTTAGTGTAAAAATCAGGAGAGAAATGGACACAGTGGAGCAGATAAAAAATGGCAATATAAAATTACTATATCCTGTATTGTTGCACAAATGTTCACATTCATAATCCGACTGATGTTTTCTAGTGAATCCTCAAATAAATTTTGAAATTGAGCACATATTCATAGGAAAAGACCGACATTTGTAATTTTTTCTTAATCTCATAAATTCTTTAAAAAGGCTTTCTGCCATAAACCAGGGGCCAAATGTATACTTATTATGTATTACGAACATATGGTCTGAAGCAGTGTTTCTCACTCTTATAAAAGTACAATCAAGATGCTGCCAACTAAACTGCTAATCATTTTGCCTTATTATATATCAGTCTCTCCAACTACAAGAGCTGTGATATATTTATAAAAAAAGTGATTCCACAATACTTTTACTCTAAAACCAATGCTATAATTATACTGAAAGCAAAATGTAATACCTCCTATATTCTGCTCCTCTGAAAAGGTTTAAGGGGTTTCTCCACACCTTGCATTCTAAAAAACAAAGGCAAAAAGGGAGGAAGTGAGACAGTTTAATCAAATGCAGTTAAATCTTAATTGACCAACATTTACTGTGTACTCACTATATGCTAAGTACAATACTAGCCACTGACAGCACAAAGATAAATAAGGCAGGCATACAATTAAATCTAGTCATTCCCTTATTTCTGTCTTCAGAGCATTTGGTTCATAATTCAATTATAGCACTTACCATATTATAATGTGATTATCTGTTTGGTTTTAAGTTTCTCCCTTTTATTTACTTTTTTAAATGTTTTCATTGATTATTAGCTGGACATATGTACACTGAGAAAATGATTACAATTTCTAGCTTCCTTAACAGCTAGCTGTGGCCATTTGACAAAGGTCTGAGTCAAAAGCAAGCTGAAATAGTACATAACACTTCTGGGAAGTGTCCTTGCCTGCTGTGGGGTAGGCTGGGGGAAAAGGGGCCCTCCTCTGGCCTACTCTCCTTCCTGCTGATTGGAATAAGAGTGGCTGTCTCCGACCACAGGCAAAACTGCATCTGGAGATGGCAGGCTAACAAAATAGGAGTCTGGGTGTCTGATGATCACTGCTCTCCAGATCAGCCATGGATTACCTAATTTACATGAAAGACAAACTTCTCTCCATTGTGTGAGTTTTCTATCTCCCACAGCCAAACACAAAATCTTAACTCTGCAGCTCTGAAAACACATTAGATAAGTAGTCACCTGACACATTCTGTCTGCTGGTTTCACTTTCTCTGTTGCTAGAAAGAGAGGCTGGCTCTGAACTGCTTCTTTCTGTTCCTCCCATCATCAATGGTCGCAAATGGCTTACAGACACTTGCTCAATAAAAGATGTGCCATGTTTATGGAAGTACCACCATTCAAATATCTGTGACAAACAGAAAACATCCTTCACTTAATACAGAACTGATCAGCAGATATATGAGCTCAAATTAAAACATTCTCTCAAGATGTTCCTGTTTAATTCAGCATCTTAAATGTGCTCTCCTTCCACAAAATAAGTCAAACACAAGATTCCCCAATGACATGCTGAGCAAAAGTGAAATACATTTTCATAGCTTTGTCATGAAATTTAGACAAGCTTAGGCAAAACTAGAATACATCTGTAAACAAAGCATTAAAAACAACAAAAATATTTAATATAGAGATAATGTTATATTACATTGTCATTTTATTCTATCTATAGCATAATTTTAAAAAAAAGTTTGAAACAACTAGCATAGTGTATTAGACTAGGGCTAGAAGGCCCATATTTGACTCCCCATTTAGCTATTAGCTGCATGCTTTGAGCAAATCACTTAACCTCTAACCTCTCAGAGCCTCAATGTCCTGCCTACTAAATATGGTTAACAGGAATTATAAGTGCCTTTTGAGCAATAAAGTACTATTCCAGTATTTGGCAGTATTGTTGATTAGGTTAAGGGTTAGGTTGATTCCCATTTTGAACCATTTAAAAATCAGGGTATCCACTTCCTTCTGTTTCCATGGTTTATTATTGTTACAAAAAGAGGAATCAAAAGAAGCTCTCTGTGCTATATTAGCAGAATGGTTCATAGTTGAACACTCCAACCTTCTCAACTCCCAAGCTTAAGTGACACATCCCTGGGGAACTTTTCCTGATTCATGAACAGAAAGCTGTACTACTATTGGATCTCCTGTTTTCCTTTCATAGTAATCGTTTCACTTGGAATAATTAAACAACTGGTTTTGTTGCTATTTTTCAAGCTCCCAAGCATACAGCACAGCCAGCTTCCTCATTCACTCAGATGGTTGCTGAAGAATCCCCAGTGAGGCCTTCCCTCACTCCATCTAAAATTTCAGCCTTCTCCTCTTCATATGCCTTTTCTGCTTCCTTGTCTCCTTTAACACTTATCACTAATAGTAAGAACATACTATTTGTTTTACTTATTTCTTCTTGTATATTGCTCTAATATAATGTAAGTTCCATGAGGGTTTTTTCCTGTTTTGTTCATTGCTGTAAGCCCAGTGCTCAGAAACACTGTGTGAAGCCCAGCAGGTGCTCCATAAAAAATTGTCAAATGAACGAATCAATGTCCATAATCACCTGTAGACCACATTTCAAGAGGATAGAATCTGTGTTTATCTGCTTACCATGGTAACCCCAACATCTAAAAGAGAGCCTAAGAGATGAAAGGCTATCTATAAATATTTGTTACAGGAAAAGTCAAGCAACCAGTGACTTTATAGATTACAATGGTTCAAATGACTCATAACTAGTTTCCTCTGTTTTGGCTGTAAAATAACTTTATATCTTCCTCCTCTCATTTGTGGACCATTTCCCTTAAAAAGTCAACCGACAGACTATTCTCCCACCAAATGTAGTGGACAAATTTGTTACTTTATTTAAAGAATAGACAAACATATCCACAACTATTTAAGAGATTAGAAATCTCTTTAAAAACAATTTCTGTTTTGCTATGATCACAAACAAGAGGCCATCTCTCTCTCTTTCTCTCTCTCTCTCTCTCTCTCTCACACACATACACACACACACACAGAAATCCGTTTTTAAACCTTTAGGAATGCTGTTTTTTGCTTCAGTAAACAATAGAACANGAAATCCATTTTTAAACCTTTAGGAATGCTGTTTTTTGCTTCAGTAAACAATAGAACAAATGTTAAAAGACGTCAAAAATATGAAGTAATTTTGCATTATATTGCAGCCCAATTCCTCCACTGACTAAATGCTATACCATTTACAGGACAGAGTTAGAAAATCAAAGTGCAGAATTTTTTCTGACATGCCACTAATGTTTTATGTGCGGTCTAGAATGGCTTCTCTTTCTGCTCACTTTTACTGAGTTAGCAGGCAACTAGTCACCACCAAATATGGTCCTAGTTTGGCATCTATCATATGTTTTACTAAGAAGTGGGATGAAACTCTTTAAAACAACCAGAAGAGGAAATCACAAAAGCAGAAATTACTCATGTTACAGAAAAGACAAGATTTACATTGGATCACAGTCAGGGAGAGTAATCACAAAGACAACAATGACAAACTGTCCTTCACTATGTGAAGTGTTGGTATATTTTTATTAATTAATATGTTAGTCTTTTTCATCTTTTGAGTCAACTTTTTAATACAAATGTGCAATAATTGCTAATACTTATCAAGCATTGTGCCCAGTTCTTTACATGTACTTACACTGAATCCTCACAACAACTGATTTCAGAAAGGATACCTATTCCCACTTTAAACAACTAGCTCTGGTTCACACCGCCAGTACTTGGTAGAGCTGGGATTCTTTCTTAGGTTTGCCTGACTTCAGAGGTTCCAACCATTATACAGACTGCCTCCCAAACATACCTTAGTATAAGTGTATACGTAAGAGTGTGAGAGTGTGAGTGTGTGTGTGTGTGTGTGTGTGTGTAAGTTTGGTAAAAGAAATTATAAATATAATATCCTTTGCTAATGAAAACTCATCAATTTTGCAAGAGTAATAACAAATTTTAACCTTTAAACTGTTACTTCAATTTTCTAATTTTAAAACTTTGGTTTAGCCCGGCCGGGCATGGCTCAGCAGTTGAGCATCGACCTAGGATCCAGGCGATCAGGGTTCGATTCCCAGTCAGGGCACATGCCCGGGTTGTGGGCTCGATCAATGAATTCTCTCTCATCATTGATGTTTCTGTCTCTCTCTCTCTCCCTTTCCTTTCCTCTCTCTGAAATCAATAAAGATATATTTAAAAACAAAAAAACAACAAAAAAAACAACAACTTTGGTTTAAAAAGGTAATATGTAGCCCTGGCCGGATAACTCAGTTGGTTAGAGCATCATCCCACAATGTCAAGGTTGTGGGTTCAATCCCTAGTCAGGGCACATACAAGAATCAACCAATGAATGCATAAATAAGTGGAGCAACAAATCGATCATTTCCCTTCCTCTAAAAGTCAATAAAGTTAAAAAGATAATATGGTCCGGCCTGTGTGACTCAGCCGTCGAGCACTGATCTATGATCTAGGAGATCCTGATTTGATTCCCGGTCAGGGCACATGCCCAGGGTTGTGGGCTCGATCCCCAGTGGAGGGCGGGCAGGGGGCAGGCGGTCAGTGACTCTCTCATCATTGATGTTTCTCTCTCTCTCTCTCCTTCTCCCTTACTCTCTCTGAAATCAATAAATATATATATTTTTAAAAGATAATATGTATGATATATATGTAAATTTCCCTTTATAAATGATTATAAATAAGGAAATTAAGACTCATAGAATTTATGTATCTTGCCCCAAGTTATCAGCCAGTAAGTGACAGAGTCAAGACATAAAACCATATATTCTCGTTCTAAAACCAATGCTTTTCCTACTACATCAGCTGTTTAAAGATAGTTTTTTGTCTTTATGTGGATTCTTACATGCTATTAACTAAATATGCTAAAATGTGCTTAATTATGAGTGGGCTTTATAAATCAATAAATTTTGAGGCTTATATTAATCCATAGTTTTCATCCTGAATGCCTCAATAATTTATTTTAAGTCAAGAGAAAAATCCCTTTCTTGTCCGGCATTTCACTTTAACAAAACAGTCAAGTGTTAGTCCTTATAAAAAAGACAAAGCCAAAACACTCCAATACAAATGCTACTATTTCTACTATAGCTGGAGAGCACCACCTAGAGATGAGAAAAAAGTAGAGAAAAATTTCTTGGCCATGCATATCATAATGAATGCTTCCTAAGATTTTTATGTGTATCAGTAATTTTCCAAAGTTTATTCTAGGAAACACTAGTCCCTAGGAATGTTAATAAAGATTATAAATTTAAAAAAAACACACGCATTTTGAATTAAAAACGCTAGCTATGTCAAATAAGACAAGAAAAAGCTGAATGAAAGTTAAATAGGCTTCTTTATTGTAGGACTTCTCAGAATAACAAAAGCCAAAATTCATTAAATGTTCACTCTGTGTGAGCTACCAGGTTATTACAAGCTTTTACACACCTTATCTCACTTAGTCCTCATAACTCTATGAAGTAGATACTGTTATTACCCCCCAGTTTACACCCATGAGAACTGGGGCATAGGAAAGTTAATTAACATGCTCTAAGTCACACCACTAAGGTGATGGTTAACCTGACTCCAAATCCCTGCTCTTAAACCCTCCAGAGAAGATAATTGGCAGCCTATAGGCTGAATTCAAGACAGATAAATTTTTAGTTTGCCCTATGTTGCCAACATTAAAGTACTGTGAGATTTTACATGAAAACTTGTGTATCCAGGTTCTCTTGGGATAACTTGAAAAACTGGAAGATTTGGTAATAATGGTCCTCAAGTCTACATGGCAACAATCAGCTTCAGCCCCTTCATTGTTATGGACAATGAAGGAGCATGCATTGTACCGTTTACTCAGTCCTCAAAAATAAATAAGGAATTCAATTCTTACACTGTGCTCATTTCACTAGATTTTGTTACCAAGCTGGGCCCTGAAAGCATTTGGTTGCAACCCACCTCAGTCCCCTACAGAATACAACAGTCCTTTATACACAAATGAATACTGTCAATCTCTAAAGTGGACAGGAGATGCAGTGGTTTTTCAAATGCTGAACAGATTTTGAGGATGCTGATCTATAAGTATTTATAATTATTGTAACTGTATAAAGAAATTTCATCTTTAGATAAATATAAAAGCATGAAGGAAATGGAAACTACTTACAAATATTAGTCCTGATATCAAAGAACATGTCCCTGTAAGTGCCACATAGAATTTGGGCGTCAATGAATTTAAAAATACTGTCACTGCCAAAAGGAGAAAAAAAAAAAAAAATCAAAGTTTAAAAAGTTGCAAATTCAAAGTATTCAAGTTACAAATATGCAGGTGTCTTTATGAGAAGGGGAAGGAACATAAGTGGATTAACATCTAGTATGAGACTCATTTGAGAACGTTGTCATTTTTAAAAAGCTCCTTTAAAGTCCCATTGTAGCCTACCCTTAAAAATTTTGCCCTGCCCTAGCCAGGTAGTTCAGCTGGCGGGGTAGCTCACTCAGTTGGTTAGAGCCGGAAAAAAAGGCACAAAGAGAAGAGCAACGAAGGGAGAGTTCCCTCCCTGCATCTGACTCACTGAAAGTCTGGACCAGACTCTTCACTTCAAATAACTGTCTCATGAATTCTTTGGATTTTTAGGAAGAAATAAAAATTTATAATCTTTAACTAGTCTCATCTAAACGGCGTGTACCTAGTTAACACGTAGAAAAATGANCTTAACTAGTCTTATCTAAATGGCGTGTACCTAGTTAACACGTAGAAAAATGATAAACTCAATGAACAACATTTCACTGAGTGTAAAAACCGGCAGGAAGCACTTGGTTAACCTGTTAGAGACACCACCACGTCAGCTCCTGCAAGCAGCGCAGCAAGGCCGGTTTGTTTCGCTTGTTCTAGTTATGTCGGAACTTACGTTATACACCTATGTTCTAAAAAGTCCGAAATATTTCACAGCGTTATGTCCGTATTTCGTGCCATCTCGTGGAATAGAAAAGGGGACGTCTGCCTTTTCTGGCCACCGAAAAAATAAAGCACGGTACCGACCGTCACAGCCACGACGCGACAGAATTACTTCCGTCTCGGCCTGAGGCTGCGGCTCAGCGCGGGAGCTGCAAGGATGCGGGAAGGGGCCCTGGCTGCCGCAGAAGGAGGGGGTTCGCCGAACCCCAACTCGGTCCCGACGACACAGCAAAGCTCTCCGCAAACGCCGAGAGCGAGAGGGCTCGGGCAAGGAGCCCCGCGCTGCTGTTGGCGGCTCTCCTCTCCACTACCTGCACTTCTCTCTCTTATAAAGCCCAAAGAACAGACGAAACGATCACGAAAACTGTGTCTTGACAGAACTATTCTAAAACCTGAGAAGGGCTGGCTGAGATCACAGCACTTGCTTTTCTTTTTTAGATCTTGGATACAGACGCACTCATCTCGGCGGCCGGGGTTGGGCGCCCTGGGCTGAGCGGCGGGAGACTCAAAAAGGGCCCGGTTTTCGAGGCATCCCACCCGCGGCGGGGCGTGGGTATAAAGTCTGCATCCACGTCTGCCAGCGCGCTCTCTCTCCCCTCTGTCCTCTCGCCTGAAGCTTACAGCCTGTCAGGCGGTGGCGTTTCCTCGCGTGAACTGGGCCCGCAGGGAGGCGGACCTGACTCCCGGGAGGAGCCCGTAGCTGCAGCCCGGGTTTGACAGCCCGCGGCGGGGTTGCGGCCCCAGAGAAAAAGAACCCACTGGGTCGCGCGCCACCGACTCCTTCCCCGCAGCCCTCCAGTGGCCAGGAACCTCTGCCCTTTGGCCCTTGCCCCCGGCACCTCTTCTGGCTCCCCCATCCGTCCCCCGGGGAAGTCTGGGCCTCTCACCCGCAGCCAAATTCTCACACAGCCTCAGCGGGACCCTCAGAGCGTAAAGCAGCCCCAGCCCCACCACGAACCACAGCGAGGCCCACGTCCCCGCCAGCCCGGCCCGCAGCCGCTCCCTCCAGCCGGGCGAAGGGCTCAGGCTGGGAGCAGGCGCAGGAGGAGCAGCCGCGGCAGGCGCGCCTTCGCCCAGACCGCCGCCGTCCGCCATCTTGCCGCTCCCTCCCTTAGCGCCCTGCGCTGGGAGGGGAGAAGGGCAGGAAATGGGGAGTCGGGAATCCTGGGATAGTGGCGGACCTGAAGTGGGCCTCGGAGAAGGCTGCGCGTACTGGGGATAGGGGGCCGAGATCTGGACGGGGAAGGAGCGGCCCGGGCTACCTTATTCTTTCCAAGGGTGGGAAGAGGCGGATAACGGCACCCACTCTGGAGAAAGTGGACTGAGGCGTGACCCCGAAGTGGTTTTGCTTCCCATACGAGCAAGGGTCACAACCCGCCCCTTC